TATTTTATTTATTTATATATCTGGCTGATTTACAGTGCTTTACATTGATTGCGTTAAGACAGTGTTGAACAATAGGATTATCAGTGAATAACGAATTGTAATGTATGTAAAAGGAAATGGTCGGGACCTAATTTAAGGTAATATCCTTGCATATGCCTCGTGACTGAAGAAAGCCTCACAGCTATCTGAGCCGAGATCTGAACCCAGGAACTCCGGAATACGAAACAGAAGTGCTAACCACTCGACAGCGACGTTCATTTACGTGCATTTCTGATCCCCTCCATGTGTATTGTACCAGCCACATCATCCTCTTATTTTTAATAAAAATGGTGATATCAGACCGACGACTAGGGACTTGTGTTAACATTTCGTGACATTATAGTCTTTTACGGTGAGGTATCCTTAAATCTTCACCAACTCCAGCTGGAGAACTACTGAATGAAGTTACTTTCCATATTTTGAAGCCAATGGTACTGGACAAGTAATACAAATTGTTACTTCATTATGTCCAATATACTCCTTAGCATTTTGGCACATTGTTCTCAAACTTCCAATTACAGCGTCAGACCCCAAGACTATTCAACATTTGTGGCTGAGAAAGAATTTTTAAATATGCATGAACCAACACTACGTATTTACATGAGGTTGTCACAAAATTCCACACAGGTCAGCGCATCACTACCATTCAGCTGGATGGGGTCCAGTATTTCATAAGCCGTATGAACCCATACTCGCCTGAGCTAAACTACTTCTTGGCCTATCAGTACTGTCGCTCCATTGGGCTTCAACTGGCTTCTTTTGAATCGAAAGAGAAAGCAGATTCCATGGCTCAATACCTTATTAATGCAGGTAAGTAAACATTCACAGTGTTGAATACTGTCATCACGTCAGAATGATCCATAACTGGTCACATTTCTTCCTGAGATACTAACAGCTGAGAGCTAGTCAAAATATTCCCTGATTTTTATGGAACCCAAAACTTTGGTGCACAAGAGCCGACAACTACACTGGTTTACATCCTGAACCACACAAATCCATGCCCTCCCACCCTATTTAATAAAGAACCATTTTAATATTATCCTCCCATACATGCCTAGGTCTTTTGCATGTTATATTACCTTAGGATTCACAACCAAAATTATGTACAGACTTCTCATCTCCATGCCCTGATCATCTCATCTTTTTTTGACTTGATCATCCTAATATGTGGTGAAGAGTATGAAGTATGGAGCTCGTCACTATGTAATTTTCTTCAGTCACCTGCTCCTATTTTCTTCTCTATGGTTCAAATATTCTCCCCAGAACTTTGTTCTTGAACACCCTTAATCTAATTTCTATCCTCAGGATGACAGACCAAGTTTCACATCCATACAAAACAACAGGTAAGATTGTAGTTTTGTAAATTTGTGTCTTCAGGTTGTTAGATGAGAGGTAAAATAATTATAACATCCTAGCTTTCATTTTTCTAAGACAGTAGACAGTGATGAATCACGTGCAGTGAGGCCAAAAAAAACAAAAACATTTTGAGTTTGGACACCCCTGCACATATGAACTTCTTGTAATTCCACCAGTTCCAAGAAGTATACAAATAGGTACGTTGTGTCTTGCGCCCAAGGTTACAATGGTCACGACTACTGGACATCAGGTAACCGACTTGGCACTGACATGCTCATCTGGATGAGCTCTGGTGCCACCTTCAACGCTACATTCGATTACATGAGGAAGGCGTTTGGTAACGATCTGGACACCAGCACCAACGGCCCTAGTGGCGAAGACTCTACTGAGACCGGCCCCAGCACATCAGCAAAACCAGTGTCTGCAAGATGGGCCCGCCACAGACAAGGGTAAGTTTGCGCTAACTTAAGCTTATCCACCACCTCAACACCATGCAAATTGGCAAGAGTGTAAATATGCAAGCACAACACTTTCAGGGGTGTGTATATTAGCATGTATTTCAACATACATTTGAATTTAATTTGGTTGAATTTTAAAACTGTCACAGTAAGTCTGACAACGAAATGGTATGGGACTTTGAAATGTCAGATTAATCAGACTCAATCTGACAAAGAGGTGTTTCTAAAATGGTGGCCTACAGTGGAATTTCAGCCAATCAGAATATTCTAATTAGCATCTCAGTTTACTACAGCAAGAAAAATGTTAGTGAATAACATCAAATACGTCCACCATCTTTAGATCAAACCACCAACACAAATGTTTAATTGGCATCAGTTGGGTGGTTTCACATATAAAACGTGCAGCTGCACAGACACACCTCCCTATTATGTGTTCATTATGCACACTTCATACACAGAACTCATATAAACTATTGCATTTCTGAATGACTGAAGACTTTTCATTTGACAAGAATTGACCAACTGGAAATGTTTTCTGCTTGCTCAGTCGAGACAGCAGCTTGAAGACTGGCTGTGTGACACTCAAGGCACCAGACCTGGAGTGGGATACTGATGACTGTGAAGGGAACAAGGATTTCATTTGCGAGCAGACAAGATGCTATTATTACAACTATGGCTCTATTCCAGTCTCCACATCTCAGGGGTAAGCAGGTGAGAAAATTAAATATGGTACAACTTCACAATCGCATATGAGCCATTAATATGACTCAAACACAACTCCACCTACATATGTAAAAATGTAATAACTGGCAGTTATACACAAGAAGATTTACTAGTCCAAATTAATTTGGTTCTTACATGATAATGTTCATCAGGGAACTTATTGCATAATGAAAACAATTATTTTGTACCGGTGGCTGAAATTGCATTACTTCATACTGTCCTGATCTAATAATATAAAAAGGAAATGCAATTTTCATATAATAGGGATTGTGATTGTGTGGTAATAACACTTAATGATAAATGCAAAGAAATTTTTTGTAAGAAAACATGAAGGGGAGAAACAATGTGGCATAAATGGAAGGACAACATTAAAAAGTATATTAATAAAACAGGGTGCAGGGTGTGGAGTTGACTGAACTAGTGAATCTACTAAGTGTGTATTTTATTGGCAGTCACATCAATTTATCACTGTGCCTCCACTGGGAAAATGCTAATATATACACAAATAATGATCTTATATTCTACAGAAACAACAAAGTCAACAAACCAACAAAAGAAACAACAACTGAAGAAACGGATTCTACAAATGTAACCTCTGTACCAAGAAACAACAGCAACACCCCACTAGGACCACTCTTGAATTTCACAATCAATCGCCATATAACATTAAGACCCAATGCACATGATGTTCAGACCTCGCAACAGTCTTCAACGCCCGCTGCTGACCTGTCACTTGGAGGGAACCCTGCAGCCAGAGCTGTATCTGACAGAGACACTGACAACAATGTGGTATATGTAACAGCAATTGGTGCAAACAATGATCAACAAGCTGTTGCATATGTCAACATGAATGCTGGCTTCAATGCTGATCAAATTTCAAATGTTGAAATAACAACAAAGAAAGCAAATGACAAACCTAATATTGGGCTTCTTAATGAAGATGACTTGTCGACAACAATAAGCATAACAACATCAAAGATAACACACTAAAGAACTAAATATGATAAGGTGAAAGCCTCAATTACTTTTAGACATGTAACAGCACCATGATTTAATTAATGCTCTTACTAAGCAGTACTAAGTTGTAATTGTTAGACTGTTTTTTTAAAAGTTAAATAATGCTTACAAGTCAGATATCTCTGCCTAAGGTGAAGACAGAGTAAAGTTTCAACAACAACAGCAACAAAATCAAAAACTGAAGCCGTTATTCATCTGAAATAATGTTACAACAGACATCACTACACAGAAACCTTCATGGTGCATACATTAAGAATTCATCTCTTGGGTTAAGATAAGCTCAATCTTCATTACTTTTCAATGTCGGTGAGTTGGTAGTGTGTGTTGTTCTACAAACCATTGAATTACAAATGTTTATGGTGTCTTCAGTTACAACATCCATAACCAATTCACTGTTGACACATCCATTGACTATTCTCTGTTAACATATTTCATTTTGCTTGTGGTCTTTAGATTACTGTAGGAATGTAGTTCCTTGTATAAGATATAACGGAATAAAGGTACTCTAAAATCAGGAAGTTCTGGTAAGAACCTGTGAGCCGGTTTTTAAATACTTCAATCAGTACAGACAGACCAGTACAAATTATGAATATGTTGTCCTTAGTGCTTAAACACGCATCATGTCACATGGGGGAGTAGAGGTATATACCATTAATTCATGAACTTAGATGTAGGTAAGTGGTTAGCTTCATGTTCAGTCTACAGTATCCCTCCACCCTCCCATTTGTTAGGAGGCTGGGTGGGCCCCAGAGCCAATCTGACTGTGATAACTATGAGAGAAACCTCTTACTCCTGCCAGGAATCAACCCCTGGTCATCCAGCCTATAGTCTAGTCACCATACTGACTGAGCTGCTGGATTTGGTTGCATGATTATAAATAAATAAACAACTGATGAAAGTTCTCCTGTTAGGCATATTTAACGACAATGATTCCCATTACTTAAAGTTGTCAGGCAAAATCTCAAATTTTAACTCTCAGAATATTTGTAATTCTTAGCATATAAAATCTGTTATGTATTTTCATGATTTATCACCATAACAAATCTGACAGTCAATAACCAGTTACTGCCAGCAAGAGAATGTTAATATAAAATTAGCATAGTTGTAAGCTATCTTAAAATGTTTTTTCAAAGATATGTCATCAGACAGAATAGTGACTCCCATCTTAGAAGTTTACATGACTGCCAATGTTGGAAAATTAAAAAGTAAAAAAATCAGGTGGTTTCTAATAATGTGACGTTCACCTGAAGATACACATATTACTTGACTTGGCAAATGTTAGAGGAGGAGACAGACAGACATACACACACAAACCACCATCATGATAAAACAAGACTACCTTCCCTTATAAAATATGAAAAAAGTTTGAAAGTGTCAAAGATAATGAAGACAATGATATAAAAAACTACAATTTTTATGAATGTTCAATCAACATATATTCATATTAGCACATCTGAAAAAGTAATACCCCATTTTTAGTATATTTATAGAGTTTCTGATACAACAAATCTGCAAAAAATGTGCCAAACTTACTCTGACAGTTTCAACCCTGAACTCATTACCTGATGTCTATTAGAAACATTAAATTTAATTTACTGAATAGCTTTCAATTAAAGAAACGCATTCATAAGATGAATAGTTAGTGTAGGTATTTACAGCACTTACCAGCCATTTATAACACCTTCCATGTTGAGCATTGGGATTATCTTGAACACATATTTACTGCGCAAACTAACAGCTGCTGGAGAATTACTCAATAGCTTCTCAAGTGTTCCTTGCATCACCCAAGAGGAATTGCTCTCGCCTGGGTGCACACGAGCAGTGAGGAAAATAATTTCCCTCATCTGGAAGCACCAATGTTGATATTAAAAACTGTACACCATAACTACTCCAAACAGGACATATTACAAACTTTACTATATATGAAGAGACAGAAATTTGTCTATAAGTGAAATAAATTAATAGTCTTCATGGCAATATGTTGTTTAATGAATTCAATGCTGATATGAAGTCTATTTTATTTTTGAATATGTACTATTTATTCTCTGTACATCAAAATATGCACTGAATAACATAAATATAAGTCCAAAAAGCAAAACAAATGTTATTAGAAGTTTTGACACATAAATATCACAATAGTTAGGCATATTTTGTTCTATGTAATCACCCTGATTTTCCAATGCATATGGTCAAATATCTCACAAGTTTCCTCATTCAATAAGGGCTTCCCCCCCTCCCAACCTTTATCCATTCTTAATTTGATGTATTTACCGCAACTGAGTTGGTCTCTGATTCTGCAGCTGTAACAGTGATCAGCGGCGTCTCATTGTTATTCAGAGATGAACAGATAGACTCTGCACGAAAGTAAATTGAAGTAGAATCTACTGATACAGACCATTTCCATATCTGAGCCTGAAATAGGAAAAGTACATATGTGAAAGTATGAAGAGATTTTTGCAGGAAAATCAAACTATTTCATTCATCACTATATTCCCACTCACAATAATCAAGTCTATAAAGGTGAAGCTACTCCTGTGCCTAAGCATCACACCATGAATAACGGAGGTACAGTTCCACACATTAATCTCACCACCAGATTGAAGTGAGAGGTAGATACACACTCTGGCTACTTTACACCCATGGGAAGAAGCTGTGATACCTATTGCATGGGAAGACAGACAGGCACCAGAGCTGGTCTGGCCATGACGGAGAACAGAAACAATCCTGCTTCCGCAAGAAACAAAATCCTGTCTACCCAGCCCATAGCAAGTCACTTTAGTAATTGGATAATGCATTTCAATTAAACAATGAAGTATTATTTCAAGTCAATGTATATATCAATGAATGGGTTAAAACACTGATTTTTCTCTATGTTGATATACTGATCAATTGACAGATCATCATATCAGACCCTCTGTCATGTGAATGACACTTATGAATTGATATGTTTCTTATAAATAGCACCAAAATAACTCAATATAAATATGCCTACTGATACATACCAGCAGCTGTGAGTATGTGTACGGATAGTGGTAAGCGATGTAGCAGACATCATATGAATGTGGGAATGCAATTGTGAATGCTGTAGTAAGATATGAGCGTGGTTTGCGAGACGTTATGTTCTGGTACCAATTCCTATAGTAACAGATGTCAGTACCCACACGTACCCATCCTGGACGTCCCAATACAGACTCACGGACAGAGTACATTATTGGTTTCATTCCTGAAAAGAGCAGCAAAACATAATTTCCACAGAATTAGTACATCATATCAAAGGAAAGTCTTGCAAAGTTCTTTGCTGATTTGTACTGATTAAACATTGCTATTTAAAATGTTGGTAAACGTAACTAAATAGGTAGTTTATGTCCTTTCATAGTTCAGCTAATTATATTCTAGGAACAGGCTAGAGATTTTCTCAGACTTATACTTTACACCAGGCCAAGTTATACCTCACATCAATGCTCTGACACAGGCCTTACCTGCATTCACTCACCCTGCCACATGCCAGCAACATAAATGAGACAACATTTAAGGGGTCTAGATCTGTAATGTTGCCTAGATGCAAAGAACAGTTATTTTTAAATGTCCTACATTGTTAAAGGGTTAATCATAACCTATAAATGTAATGGTATGACTAAGGATATGCAATTATATTGATATGAATACAAATATTGGTATTTCTTGTGTAACATAACTGACATCATTTCTAACTAATTTATGGAGACATTGTTATATTCATAAACATGATGCATATGTTATATTTTAAAATAAAATCATAAATTTTTATTAATCATGACTTGTTTGCAATAAAGTAGGAGAACATCTGAGAGTGTATGGAGCAGTATGTTGTACTGGGACCTGTTTTTTAAATGCACAAATATAAATAAATATATTAATAAAAATTAGGGAATAATAATTACTGGACTAAAGACAAATTTCTTATTCTGTTTTAAGTTCCTAATTTTCATTAAACCATAACACAATGGAGTGACAGAAGTTAAAGTATAGCTCCCATACTTTAACATCTGAGTAACTGTAACTTTATATGAAGGAAATACTAAGTATGCATAACAAAAAAAACATGAAATACCATAGTTGAATTGGCTGTTCTGCTTCTCACAGTTGACAATATTAAAGACATATGGAAAATTAGATTCCATATTGCTGACTTCAAAATAAAACCACTGATGATGGTGACTGGAGTTTACATCTGGCATGAGGATGAGATCATACTCCTTAGGAGAAATCTGAAATACACATAAAAGAATCACATCAAACTGGTATATGGTGAGGTGCGTCTAAATTTGTGGTGCAATTTTTTAACAATTAGCAATTAATGATAGAAATATGAATTAAAGATGTAACTAAGGGGAAACTGTAGGAGTTTATCTGGGTTCTCAGTGAACTTCAGTGTCAGTCCAATTTACTTAACTGCACTCATTTCTTTGGTATTCTGATTCTTATCACATGTGAGTGAGAACACCTAATGTACACTCTCAATACAGCTTCTTATGCTTCATTTCAGATGGTCCATGTTACAGAGCTTTTCATTTTATACCACTTGTTTTACATATATAGTCCCACAGACAAGTCAAGTTGAGGAAAAAAGAGACATTATTTCTACGGAGCAATAGAAAATTAATGTCCTTACCTGAATCACTTTCCGAAGATTTCCACTTTCAAACCGTGACTCAAAACACAGGTGACTTTTAGTTCCATCTTTTTGGCCTAGATGCAACTCATCTGAATTAACAAGCAACCTATCAAAGAAAGAAAAATGCCAATCACCAAACAGAAATGCTGTAATACATTTATATTACAAGATATTATTTATGAAAGTAAGTAAAAATTAAGGGCAAGTTTATTACAAGTTTTTCACAAAATAAATACACAACAGTTACACATATCTTGGTCTTCTGTGTAATGACCCTAACTTCACCTAAATAATATAGTACCACTTCTTTCCATGACTGATCAGACACGAGTTCGCCAATTCTGATTAGTGCAGATATGCTGATAGATCTGCTGTCTTTAATAATAAAACATGTTTCAGCTGATGACTGCCAAGGATATGCAAAATCAATAAGGTTCATCCATCCTTCCCTGAAAATGTCCACCCATTCACAAACTTTCCTTTGGCTCACGCAGTAACTGTCACACAAATCTGTTATTCTTTTATCAATTTTGCTGGCTTTCATAAATTCTGACCATAAAAATTGTACATAGCAACAAAGCAACATTACTTTTTTTATAAAGTGTAATCTTTAATACATTCATCAACCAGAGATTATAAATAAACTCATTCCTCACCTATTTGTACTGCTATTTTGCCTTTGTGGTGGAAGTTCTGTGATAAGTGTATCTAGTTCATACACCACTTTGTTTGAACCCTCAAACTCAGAAAATCCTCGCTCCACACAAGCTAGGAGTTTGGCTCTGAAACAAAAATGTTTATCTTTTAATCAGAATTATTAATGATGTTTCCTGATACCAAATGTTGCTAGGGTTATTAGATAAAGAGTGGTAATATGTGCACAGAAGGGGGAAATAAGAAAAGCTTGCAACATTTTGATGAAAATCATCAAGGGATAGTCCTCTTGTGAGACCTAGTTATAAATGGGAGGACATTATTACAACGGATCTTAGAGCAGTAGGGGTTAAATAATTTAAATTAGCTCTTTATAATGTCCAATGGCAGACTTTTGTAGACATGACTGATAAACCTTTTAATTCTATAAAAGCGGGGAATTACGTGACCAGGTGAATAACAATAAATGTTTCAGGGAAGAACGAATACCATGGCATTAATTAATAGTAACAACCTGATCTTCAAAACAGAAACATTCTGTACTCACCTGCATACTCTGCGGTCTTTAATGTTCAATGGCTCAAGTTCCTTCGAGCTGTCACTACCCATCATGTCTGGATAAGCAATCTTAATAAATGGTAAGATACTGTTAACACGAGATGCTATCTTGGCATAAACTCTTGGAAAGCCAGAGTCTTTGGGAATGTCAGAAATTACACCCAAGCCTTTCACCATCATGTGATTATCAATGTTGCTTCTGGTAAAGGAAGAAAAGTGAATATAATAAACCTTACGTTTGTCATGCACTACATTATGTCCAGGATTAAAAATACGCTATTCCTTGTGTGGCAATATACACGAGGCCATGAAGAAACTGCACCAACAATCTGGTACAATACTTGGCACATATTCAATGCACAGCCACACTTTGAAACCAATTTCATCAAAGATGTAAGCTATGAACTGTCAGTTTTGTTACACTTTATGGTACTATTTATATTATTTGCCCAAAGGATCAAAGAAAAACCACTAAGGAAAATTATCACTCAGAATTTTCTCCCAGCCAAGATTTTAACGAGCTATCTGTGGATTACCATTCATAAAATCAAACATTAATATTTAGTACCTTCTGTCAGATATTTTATTACAACATTTTATCTGCAAACACTTCCCAAAAAACAGTCATTTGTTGATCTAGAAGTAAAGAGAGAATACTAAGTGCATGTTCATGCCTTGTAACCAGAATTCTGGACAAAATCCTAATATAAAAATTGGTACTAAAAAGTGGAAATCCAAATATTTGAAAATGACAGTAACAAGTCAAAGTAACATCCATAAACACGTTGTGAGCAGCTCCATTTTAGGGAATGTTAATTACCATTCAGTTCACTACCCATCTTCTTTCAATCTAAAATCAAAATATTTACATATATAATAATATTGTCGGTTATCTTATATGGGTGTGAAACTTGGTCTCACACACTTGGGGAAGAATACTGACAGAGCATATTCAAGAACAACGTGGTGAGGAGAATACTTAAACCTAAGAGAGATAGTGCAACAGACGGATGAAAAATATTGCATAATGAAGAGCTTCATTAAATATTACTACTGTGATCAAGTCAAGGTGAAAGAAATGGTTGAGGTTGAGGCATGTGGCAGAAGAGAGAAGTTTCAGAAGATAAGCTTGAAGGAAAGAGACCACTTGGGAGAATTAGACATACATGGGAAGATAAAATTAAAATAGAATTTAAGAAAACAGGACATGTGGGTGTGTAATGGATACAACTGGCACAGGATAATTTCCATAGATTGGCATTTGTAAACACTGTATTAAACATGTGAATCATATAAATGGAAGGAAATTTCTTGGCCAGCTGAATTCCTAGCAACTTCTCAATGAATCTTCTTCTTCTTTCTTGGCTCTACAACCCAGTTGTGGGTCTTCGCCACCTCCTTTTCAGAGGTTTTCCTAGTCTTTGAAGAATGCATTTGTGAACAGTGAGTGACCAGCCCACTGCCTCTGCACAATTTCTGCTCGATCCTGATTTGACTGCTACAGCCATCAAGTAGCGAATCAGGAAACTTGGGTGAGAAATGGAGAATGAATTTTGCTCATGAAACATGTCATTTCATGTTCGTAAGATTCTTTTACATGCTGCAGATCTACGTGGGACCGCCGGCTTTACTTCCCCTCCGAAGGAAGTTGTACTACGGATTTTTTTTTATCACCCTTAAAAATCCATCGACCTTGGCTGGGTTTGAACCCATGAACCTTGGGTCCAGTGGCGAACACGTGAACCACTAGTCCACTGAGGGTGACACTCAACTAATCTACTTCATGGTATTGTTTGTCAGGAAAATTATTAAATTACATTAAGGCAAATACTGCAATATTTACCTCGTTGCAGTTGATTCCATTGTGACTCCATTTTTACCAGTATCCAATGTTGACAAAACAGAACTGACAGATTTAGCTGTATTCTGAATATCACTGTGATTTTTGCTCAAGGATATGTTATCATCACTGAGTGATTTGCTACATTCCAGTACCTTCTTCAATGGTTGACAATGATCAGCGAAGGATGGTGTTTTACATGGGAAAACCTGATTAAACACAGTACCATTAAGAATGTTCTCATGGCAATTTTCTTTGCAGTTCTTCTGTATAAACTGATTTTTTCCATTAGATGGTAAACTAGTATCACAAGAAGTAGAAGATTTCAGTAAGATACTTCTGCCATATTTTTCTTCCAGTTTTCCAAACTCTCTCAAATAATGAGAATATCTGGAAGGAAATTTAAAAATATGTTATGCCAACAAAGCACAAGTACAAAGAATTTCTTAGTTCCAGGTAAGAATATAAATGAGAAGTGAGTACTGCAAGATATTACATGATACAGAACCCTGTGATTTATAGTTTCCCAGCATTGTTAGGATAGTCAAATCTATGAGGAGTGGATGGGCTGAGCATCTGGATTGGGTGGGGAGAAACAAAAAATACACAGAGGTTTTGTGAGGAAACCTCTTATAAACGTTTATTTGGAACAAAGCAAAGAAAAATCTTAAGAAGGTGGACTGACAGGATAAGCAGTGAATGAATCTGGCATAGATTCATATCCAGTGGTGATATGTGGTACTGGTGATGTTATATCATCATTTTATGCCATGATAGTGTTTTTGGTAACTCTGACCATCATGAAATAAATGTATAAAATATTGAGAACATTTATTATTCTAAAGTTAATAAATCAGACATTTTAACAGCTGCAGTCACTGAAAACAAAAAAAAAATCTGTATTTTCTTTATCAAGTATCAGCATGATGATGATGATCATCATCATGTCTGATTATAAAAGGTATGTTTAACCCAGCCAATGAAATATTTAAATGTGAAAGCATACTCCATTTGGAGTACACAAGTTTTATCATGTCTGATTATAAAAGGCATGTTTAACCCAGCCAATTAAATATTTAAATGTGAAGGCATACTCCATTTGGAGTACACAAGTTTATTCAAAAATATTGTCAAAAAGGTAATATGCAGTGCATATGATATACTGCAGATGCAAATTATTTTTCCTTTTATTTCATTAACTATACATCACATTACAAATTTTTCAAACAAAAGTTGTAGAGCTTAATGAGATACATGTTTAATGCATGCCCTGTGCTAATTCTTTATGCAAGGAGCCATTTCTAAGAAATGTGTCAAATTTTGGTTTCATCTTTGAGTAATGTAGGGATTATTTATCTGAAACATACCCAAGAAGATCTTCTACGTCTCGCTGAGCAGGAAGGGGCAGATTACAGATTTTGTTCTTGTACTCTTCTTTATAACATTCATTATCTTTGTCATCATTACCATCACTATCATCACTATCATCATCTTCTTCTGCTTCTTCTTGTAAGGAGTCCTCACAGCTATCTTCATCAGATCCTGGACTTGCCTCATGAGATGAAGAAGCATGTTTCCCTAAAATCAGCAGCATAAAACATATACAGAGCCCATAGTCTCTACAAGAAGCTGCAGACAACAGGAGCTCATTAAGTAACTAACTCTCTGGTAATACGGAACAACAGTCTAATACTGCTGATAAAAAAGCAGACATATTCCGCCAATCACTGTGTACTGTTATTGAAAAGCACAGATTTAGTGCATATCTTAATGTGTTAAACACTATATGTTCCCTCTCTGCCTTTAAACACCAGGTTACTTAAATACACAAGTAAATAAACAAAAAGTCACTAACAACCTTTCATACCTCTTAAAACACAAAAAAAAACTTTCTAGGGAAGTAATGAAGATCATAAATAGGAAACAATACAAAGAAAGTTATAAACCCGTGCTTTATAAGAGACTGTGAAATGAAAGACATACCTGTTATGTCAATTTCATTATATCTGTAGACCTCTTTTAGAGTCGGCAAGGTGAAAATTGCTGGGCTTGATGTACTCTGTACAGGCAACTGTTTCCTGTCCAGACATATGTTAATGATATAACATACCCGGGCTAGAACTGAATCATAACTTTTGTCTTCCGGACAGTGTGTACTGAACTTGTGAAGAAGGGTCAAACCATTGTGTGTACAAACACTTTTCCGGCCAATTTCTGTAGGTCAATGAAAAACATTATTCAATTTCTCTAGATTATATCAGACCCTAGTCAGATGGTTGGTCAGGAAGTAAACACAAAGACAAACAATCATATGATCAGGTCTATTCATTAGAATGAAAGACAAAATCATAACAAAAAGGTAGGTAGCAAATACTTTGAAAATGTGGCAAAGATAAAATACTTTAGAATAACAGTACAAAATCAAAATTACATTAATAAAAATAACACCAAATTAAATTTGGTGAATGTTTCCTATCATTCAATTTTAGAAAGTAGATAAGAAGATAAAAGATTATGTTCAGAGAAACAGTATACAGTATTTAAGTCCATGGAGTAAAGTCTTTCTTGAGAAATTAATAGTTCCATGAAGTTCTTTGACGTTTATGGAACAAGAAAGTTAATTACAGTGTTCCAGAGCCTGTCATTTAGGCCTTTGAAACTTATGAATCCAATTCACATTCTCACATTTTATTGCTTTAAAATCCATTTCTTAGGCCACTGGCAAACAGACTATTTGGTCTGTGAGCCACCAGCTGAGCAACCACAGCACTACATCACCTAAATCAACACGGTTATAATTAGTTCACAAATACATTTTATTACACAGTAATTCAACTCACTAGTAGAACAAAGGTGTTGTAATGTCATAATTATATAGCTGCAAATCTTTAAGTGTATTCTTCCTTCATAACGATCCCAGCGCTCAAATATCCGTAACAAGAGAATCAGTAATCCACTCTTTACTGTTTGGATACAGCAGGGTCCTGTAAATGTGCCAAAAGATATATGTGTTAATTAAAACCTGCTTATAATAGAATCCCAAAGGGCCTAAACATTTAACACAGGCTGTCACTTCTAGGTAGAATGTAATGCACAGCAAATGCACTGTGCATTTATGATCAAAACCACAAGCCACCAATTCATGGTATTTATGTACACTGACTGTGAAAAAGCAGAAAACATTTTAATTATGCACTTCACACTGTTATTTAAAATTCTAATTTCGAGGAAAACCCAAAATATTCTTACTGCTTTTAGTGAGGTAGTTGATCACATTCAATGACAATCTGAGCTTGGAATTAGGAGTGAATCCAATGCAGACAATAATCTTCTCCATAGTAGCTACTATTCCATCTTTGACCAACAGTGACGTTGTAGAAGCTTTAGGAAAAAGATAAATAAGTTGGCCCTATGACAAATCACATTAAAACAAAACAAACAATTTCAGTAACATAATAAAGTGATGACACTATAATTCATCACACTTTATGATCTGAAGCTTTCACGGCAATGAGTCAGCGCTGAGCTTTCCACTCGCACGGCTTGCTCTTTGCCCTGATGATGGAGGCAGCAAGGACTTCTGAAACATTGGTAAACTTTGACAACAACCCAGAAGACAGCCATCTTCAGACTCACCACCATGAAAACCTCAAATCCTACAGCCTGCATTTAATTATACATAACCCTGAATAAGTACTTACAGCTTCTGGCCAAACATTTAATCACAAGAAGTACTGGATATAATAGTTTAGTGTTATTACAGTAAGTTCGCAATACATTATGGAATGTTTTAGTAGCCCCAACCAGTCGAGTCTTCACTGAGAATTTGGAATCTGTAAAAGAAATAAATTACTGTCAATACATCAGAACATACTATTCATGGAACATTTGAAACCCTATGTTGTACTTATTGGGAAGTGGTCCTTACATGAATGCACATTATGCAAAGAAATAAATTACAAGCTCATTACACATACAAGCATGTATACATGTGAGAAATTCTATCATGCACATCAGTTTTGCTTTTCCACATTTGAAATTATAATTCCATATGGAAATCCACAAGAGTCAAACCAGTTCAAACTAAATATTCATAAGACAATTCTATCCTGTTTCTTTGCAGTATTTAGTGCACTCCATGCTGGAATAATGCAGTAAGAAAATTAAATATCTGGCACCCAATTCACTCTGTACATCCATGCTTCCCTTTATCAATTCTACAACAAACAAATACCTCATTACTCTACAACAATCTTCCTTTTCATAATAAAAGTTAGTTTGCAAATACTTCATTACTCTACAACAGTCTTCCTTTTCATAATAAAAGTTAGTTTTAATATACAAAAAGCCTAAAAACATACCATGCAGTTCCAAATTTTACATTGTAACATTTGTGTTAAAATATCCAGCTTAGTCAGAAATGCCTCATGAAATGATGACCGAATGTCTCTTGTAACTAATACCAAAAGAAAGCATTACATTTTTGTTTTGCTTCAACACACCTCAGCAGTATTCTTCCCATTCTTGATTGACAACAGTGTTGTAGTGGGCTACTTTGATAGCATTTTTGACAACCTGGCTGCCTCCATTTTCAAGGAAAAGTGATTAAACAAGGGCCTAGTGCCAATATGTAGATATGATATGTTTATCTAACATAAAATCTTTCTGTACACTCTGGTTGATGCTAGGAAACCAGATAACCACATGATGGGAAAATCTGTAGACTCTCATCCTTTTAGTTTTAGAACCTGAATTTAATAATAGGTAAGAATAACTCAGTTTTTATTTTCTGCAGTGCACTAACATTAAGAAAAAACAATTTGTTGTTGTTTATATGGTTTATGAAATTTATTAAGAATGCAAGTATATTTATTTGTTTATTTAAGGATGCTTTTTACAGTATCTCAGACTAAATAGCATTATATGATAGGATAATAGTGAATAATTAATTAGAAAGATGTGGAAGGAAGCTGTCACAGTTTAATTAAGGTACTATCCTGTCATTTGCCCAGACAGACTGAGGAAAACCACGAAAAACCTCGATCAGTATAGCCAGTTTCCAGGCTGAGATCTGAACCAAGTACATCCAAAATACAAAGCAAGAATGTTAACCACTCGAAAATTATGTTCGGTGTTGCGTTTAGAAGATTAATCTAATATGCACATACATACCAGCATTATTAAAGACAATGATATAATAAGTAAGCAATATCATTATATCATTACAATTATTTTAGAAAAACAAAAGTGAAAAACAGTAATTCATTTAGTAGACTAAGAATATCAGCACTGGGCCACTGTTTAGTCGCTTCACCTTTATCTGAAACATTGGAAAAACAGCCGACCGCAACACAGTGCAATCAGTCAAAAATGGATTCAAATTTGAAAATGTTTGGAAGGTTATTGTCATGTCCATGTCATGAGCACTTTTAGACAGAAACAAAGAATAACACGTGAAAACCACAGTTAGGATAACCAGCCACAAATAGAATTCATCCTAAGCCTCTGAAATTCAAGTTGCATGGTAAGATGCACTATGAACTGATTATATTGTCGTGATGGAATTAGTTGGTAAGTCCAAAGTATTGTACTACATGTACATGCTGCAAAAGGGAGAGAGAAATAAAAAGTGAGAAAAGTTTAAATTTTTAAAATATTCTTCCACTTGTGGTGACAGATGGCATAAATTAAGCCACAAAATGGTGGTGGTCTGCAGATTACAAGTTGAAAAATGCTTTTGTTAAGGATGTGTCACAGTCATGCAGGCCTAACAAATAAACATTATACAATTTAAATATATGTAATACAAATGATGGTACATGTTCAAACTTGTAAATGATGATGCATCTAGACTTTTACAGAAATGGGAAATATGGATGGGTTGCAAAATAGCTACCATATTTAAGTCGCAGAATATGTCAGCACCTTGATTCATCTGCAAACAAAAGAATGAAACTGTTACGAAAACTAAATTTGATCAGCTTATAAATCCATCTTTGATTTTCATCATTCACACTATTCAAGGTACCAGTCACGACTGTCATGGCTGTAACACACTGCAAAGAACAGTGCAGATTCTAAATATTTCATATAACAGAAAGTGTTACATACAACAAGAATCACTATTTAAATTTCAAACACATATTCTGCATTCAATGCAGTATTTTTTCTGACATAAAAAAGACATCATAGATGATACCAGATTTTAATTTTGGAAGACACTTAGGACAACTGAGCTTCAGTATGTAGTACAATCTTTGTTACCATAAAAGTTAAAACAGTTCAGGCATAGGAATTGTAGTCCACATGTGGAAGGAAATCCTCTCTGTAGCAAGTATATCTTCTTTTCTGTCTTCTTAAAAGCTCAATCTGGGTTAGCATACTACATTTCTTGCTTTGAAAATGGCTGGGTTCTGGGTTGTAGCGCCATGTAGTCCAGTAGAAGCCCAATGACGTTTCAAAGATGCTTGCCGCCTCCATCATCAGGGTGACACCTCTGAAACATCGGTAAGCTTCTACCAGACTACATGGCACTACAGCCATCTTCATCCTTGCCAACATGAGAACATCAAATCCTACTAACTTTTGCTCTGATTATAACAATGCCATGTAGCATGACTTATATTTGATACCTTGGGCTTGTGGTTCTTGTTTCTTACACATACTTCAAGAATAGCAGAAATTAAGATTAACTTCAGTTAACATTTCTATTACCTCGCTGTGCCAACTGAGCCAACAACCACATTAATTCCAGCATAAAAGTATCTGACAGAACCACATATTTTGTTTGCTGTTGCATTATTAACTTCACTACTGACTGTGATGCATTCATTGAGACCAGCTGACTAATAGCAGAACTTCGGGACTTTCCTGAAACATCAAACAGACCTCTGAGAAATATATTCACTATAGAAAAAAAAAATTTAATGTGTTCAGATTACATTATTATATTTTTGTACTAGCTCTTACATATTGGCTGTAACTATTACATGGAACAAAGTCCTTCTTTACAACATAATAGTTAATCAGCTGGTAAAGAAATTAATTGTCTTTTATGGAATGTAGATTAATTACTGTGCTCATAAGATCCTGTCACTGGATCCTACTCTGAGCTGATAAATCCAGTCCACCCACTTCCAACCCAATTACTCAAGGTCCAGTTAATAATATCTAACATCTATGTCCTGATCAACCAAATTATTTCTTTCCTTAATGTTTACTGACTAATATTTTGTATGCACTTCTTATCTACCTACATATGTCATACACCCTGCCCATCTCATCCTTAATTTAGTCACAAAAATGACAACATTGCTTGACATTATAAAATTCAACCGCATTAATAATATCAGATGACTTCACTCTTCACCAAATATTACTAACGTGATTAAATCAAGCAGGCTGTGATGTGTGGCCCACATTGGAGAAATTATACACCAAAATTGTAGTCAGAAAATATGAAGGGAAGAGAACATGTTAAATACGAGGCGCGTCCCAAAAGTAAGTTTCCCACTCGTCCCACAGCTAGCAAACCTTATATTGAGCGAAGCGACTGTGCGTACGTGATAGAGCAATGACGTAGCATGGCGCATGCACTAACGGTACTTCCCGAATGAATGTCAACAACATGAAATTCAACCAGTATTATTACTTCCTGATACCTGATTTTGGAGCAACACACTCATGAAGAATTCCTGCCAAACTGCAAGCGGTTGCTTGGTCTTTCACAACCTGAAAGACATAAGGAACCAATGTCGATGACACAAAACAAGAGAGGTTAATGAATGGATAATTCTGGAAGGATATTGGGGTGACAGAAATCAATAAACAACAAAATTATAGTAGCAACTGCATATGATCAAAATTTATCTATCCATATATGAATATATAAGTATCGGCTATATATTCAGGGTACACTGAGTCAATATCGGAATATTTCCTACTTAGAAATCAACTTTAGGAGATGTGCTGTTCATGGTTTGTATGACTCCTTCCACCCCTTCCTTTTCAATCCTTTCATACTGATCATCCTCTGTCTCATATCCTGATTTAAGTTATGCATTTTGTTTGTAGGAATGGTTTAACAGAGGAAGTCATTGTCTTCAGCTTACACAAGACTCTGCCCCCAGTTAGGTTTTTGGTTAGTTGATTGGTTTGCTGCTGACTCACTTAACCCCGAAGATAAAAGCGATATATACCTCTAAAAAGTTGGTAACCACCTACAAGACCATACAGCAACACAATCCACAATTGAAATCCTCAAATCTTGGATATATGACTAATTCTTAATAAATGATTCTACTAAAGAATATTACTCTGAATATTTGTTTTGAGAGGTCAGAAATAAACTACTTTTTTAAAGACCACCATAATTTCAATGAAACTTTTTGAAAAACTACATCTTTCTACTCATATTGTTCATTAAACATAATGAAGTTTGCATACAAAATAATCTAAGAGAAAAGAACTGAAGTCCGAAACATTCTACATGTCTACACTAGCGAGTGGTCTGATCCACGTAATACCAGCTGCATTACCCCAAAGGAACGAGGCTCCAGTACCCACTGGACACAGCCACAGACCAGGAAACGCATCCATCCTCTTCAGGAACTGAATCGTGGTCACATCATGATGGCGTATATAGAAGTCGAGATATACGAGGCGTGTCCACAAAGTAAGTTTCCCACTCGTCCCACAGCTAGCAAACCTTATATTGCGCGAAGCGACTGTGCGTACGTGATAGAGCAATGACGTAGCATGGCGCATGCACTAACGGTACTTCCCGCGTTCTCACAGTAGCATCGTTGCAGCTGTTGAAGATGGAGGTTCTTATTCCAGCTCCCGCCGACTGTGAAGTGCGGTCAGTGATAACGCTAGGCCGCACACGGCTCGACGGACAGCAAGTCTCCTGCAGGAGTTCAGCTGGGAGGTGTTTAATCATCCACCCTACAGCCCGGACCTCGCTCCCAGTGATTTCCATCTTTTCCTACACCTCAAGAAATTCCTGTCCGGTCAGCGTCAGCGTCAGCGTTTTGAGAATGACAGAGAGGCGGAGATGGTGGTCACACAGTGGTTCCAATCCCAGGCGGCAGACTTCTACGACACAGGTATTAAAAGTTGGTCCCACGGTATGACAAATGTCTCAATTCCGGTGGCGAATATGTTGAAAAATAGCTGGACACTTGCTGTATCTGTTGCAATAAATATTTCCATGAAATTGTGTTTTGTTTCTGTAAACGGCCCCAGGGAAACTTACTTTGTGGACGAGCCTCGTACCTCCACGTATTCAAACCCCGGCTCAAGTCAAAAACGAATGCTCAGTATCGTGATTCGGCCGCTTTACTTCCGGGTAAGAATTCCAGTCACGTGTCAGATTGGAGACTTGACTGGCCCAACAGCCTACCTCAACATCCAATCAGCAGTCAAACGCAGAGACGTTGAAATAACGTCATTCAGGATCCATAAACAAACACATAATCCAGAGCACTTTGGGAAAACCCGCGTCCGCGGTGCCAAAATAAAGTAGATAAATCTGTATCTAAGTTATGATTAACACATGGCTTGTTGTCTGCAGACGCTGAAAGACTTCTTGTAGAATTTATAGCATACAGGACAGGATCACAGGATTGTGTCTCTATTTAAAGACGTCTTGTCAAGCAACAGATGCTGCTATGACGTAGCTGTCGATACGGATCGTGTTCCTATTGGGTGCGGTAAGATGACGGAATGTAGTCGTATTGGCCGTAATCTGGTCGCTGACAGTCGTCAAGCTGATCATGAAACTGCCTTATTCCGTCCTTTCGGCTTATAATCTTTAATGTGGGACCAAGAGTTCAAACCTTATGGAACCATACACACAGTACACACGTGTGTTTGGAGTTGGTACGATATATAGATCCTACCTAGGCAACGAATATATTCGGGTTTAACGTTGAAAAAGCAAATTGGACATGACTGCATACGGCCGGTAAATTCGACTTTGTACTGCCCTGCTACGTGTTGTGATACAGACTGTTAGTTTATGCTAGACTAGTTTTAAAATGAATGCTAATTTCATAAAACAAAATTGCATAAAAATAAATGTTTTTAAAGTGGCGGTCAGAAGAAGGGTATCGTTATGGTAGAGCCAAATTCTTAAAATAAAACCCGGTTGTTTTAAGTTGCCAGACACGTTAAAAGCAATTCGGACAATTCAGTCACAAACATATTCGCAAACGATCCAAACATTTACTTTCAGCGAAGGTTTAAAACGCCCGTTACGAACTACGGGGAGCACGGAGATGGCTGTCTTCTGTGATGCGCTGACCAACGTTTCAGACGAGCTTTCAGCCTCCGTCGTCAGGGTGATTAACTTGCTACTGGGGCCAAAGGCGAGTTTAAAATTCGTTCAGATCGGTGTAATATGACCCAACCTGAAATTAAGCTAAATTAGAATTTTATCGATTTTCTAAAGAACTGTTCACAGTTCAAGATTTGGTACATTTGCATAAAATACAGGTCTCTTTGTGGTCTATGGCTTTCACCTGAAACATTATTTCACACGGTGAGTAATAAATAACAACAGATTTGCGTGTGCAGTATATAACCGTCCTGACCAATCAATTAAGTAAAAAAATTGAAAAAAGCATTTGACAAATCGAAGCCAGCTTTCCACTCTTTTATGTAAACTCTAAGTAAATAAAATATTAAGTTTAAAAACTATAATCTTCATAAATTACGGTAACATACAATAAAATATGAAAAATATCAGAGTACCCACAATAAAAAACAGTTGCGGGTGTTGGAGTCATAACAGAAAGGGTTGAGCAAGATGTCAGTGGTGTTACCACTTGTTTCAGCATCGTTAAATATGCAGAAACATTTCAATTCAAAATTCCGCGGCAGACATAGCGTTGAAAGAAGCGAACAGCGCCTGCAACAGGCCGATTAGACTACGAGGTATACAGCAAAGCAGGAGGTGTTGCCGCCCTCCAGGATACTTTATTGTAGACAATAACTTGACTACTAGGGATCGGATAACTGAAAAGTTGACTGCAAAGTCTAAACCACATCCTTCTGTAACAATAGCATTACAAGCCAACCACTATTATCATTATCCTCCTATAGTCAAAGAATAAAAATAATCGAAATTCATCCACCCATAACACTGAAACTGCAACACATATCAGTTTTTCAAAACCAGGCGAAAGCTGAACGGATTTTTGATGAACCTTCGCATATTTTGAGTTCCTGATTACAAATCGTCTTTGTTTACCTTCGACAGCAAGCAACAGAATACCTGACATCTACTGGCCTTGACCTGTACAATCGGGGTTCGAGTCCCCGTACAGGTAGGTATATTTTTCTTCGCCACTGAGCCCAGGCCAGTCTAGGATTCTCCCATCCAATCCGACCATCATTCTCATACGTCATCATAACATGGTGTTTAAGCTATTAATTCAGAAAATTTATCAGAGCCATCACTATAAGGATCTAACCCCAATTCAAACCGAAGTACACCGAGTTACAACATGCGTTCTTTGCAACTTGGCATTCTGAATTTCCAAACATAATCTTATGACTGTTTGCGTTGTCCAATTTTATTGAAAAATTATTGCTTATCATTAGGCCCCAATCAGCGGATCGTGGGTTTGTAAACAAAAACTGGATCTTGTGGGTGTTATAAGGACACAAACATAAATGTTTGTGCAGAGAACGTCTGCCAAGATCTTGGGCTATTTTCTAGTGATAGTGTCATCTTCTGCCCAGCCCCCCAACACGCCGTTTCGCATGAACTTAAATAACAAATGTACACGCTCTTCATACACACTGCCACTAATTTATCAACTTTCAGTCGTTATGCATCCCAATAACAACAGCTGTTAAGATACAAGTAACGCGTTTTATTTTAATACTTGACAGTGGCCCAAAATCTATAATCTTGAGGTGTAACTGGAAGCAAATGTAAGCAGTTACGAATTAGTACACTTTAACGACCTCCATTTCTCTGGCTATACTCTTACACTTAATTTACAGAAAGCCGTGAGTCTGAAGATGGATGTCTTCTGGGTTGTTGCGCCGTGTAGTCTGGTAGACGTTTACCGACGTTTCAGAGGTCCTTGCTACCAACATCACCAGAGCGACTCGATGGTAGCTGCAGCAAGGACCTCTGAAACGTCGATAAACGTCTACCAGACTAAAGGGCGCAACAACCCAGAAGACAAACATCTACCACCATTACAAAAATTGTAAGCGGACCGCTGGTTGAGAACTTCTGCCGTATAGCTACAGTACGCTACTATTAGAGCGAGAGTTCCTGTCACATGAACCCTTGATGGCCTCAGGGTAAATTAAATGAGGACTTATATTGTAAGCCCTTGGTAGTTTGTTTCATTTGTTTAAATATTGTCAGTCTAAATAGTATTAAAAATATATTAAAATTGGCCGTCAATCACAATATGACGCACCTACAATATCTTAATATCTTGTCAGTCTAATCACAATAAAATTCCTATTAAATATTAAAATATTACTATAATTAAAAAACACTACAAAGCCGTAAATGTGTTTTCAGTTCGTAGCAAACAAAATAATATATAATGGCAGTCGTGACTAGGCGACGGAACTGGACGGACATGGTTCGACTCCCGACAGAAAACATCTCTCTTCTCTTTTACCCCAGACAATAAATACTGGACGCATTACACTTCCAAATTAAGAAGTTACGCACGTGTAACTGCAAGGAGATACACAAACGGAATTCGACTAAATTTCGTATTAGTGAGTATACATTAACAGTAGAAGGTAAACTTTACTGTGGCTAACGCTTCACTCCGTCTCCCGTCCATTTCTTCTCTCTATGTTTATTAACTTATTTCTCCCTTTATTGTCTTTTCTTTGTCCCTTCTAAATGTTTATTTGACTGCAGTTCTGACCAGTCTTCCAATCTCCATGACAACGTTTAATTTCAGAAAACTGTACAAGATGTCGACTTAAAATCAACAAACCATCGCTCGCCTACAAGCCATGAAATCAAGCCTTGACGGGGGCACACTGCTGGAACATCGTCAACTTATAGGCGAACGTATGGCCAACGTGTACATTAGTTGTTTAGAAAAGCACAAAACAGTAGATCTAATGACAATCCCAGACCAACATCAACAACCTAGTATGCACTGCCGCCCCGAATAAGCACCAGCAGTGTGGGCAGATCAGTGTTGCCAACACGAGCGAGAAAATTACATAAATTGGTCAAAATGCAGTACACTCGATAAATGTATCTCGATCTACACAGTTCATTCTGTGAGAGGAGATATATAGAAGAAAGTACGGATGAACACTAATTCAGAGGTGCAAGATCTTTCTAGAAAAATGTATAATTACTCAGACGTGTAGCTCTTACCTCTAGTAAGCTGATTAGTAGTGCCAAAATGCCAGATTTTTTATGGCATATATACTCCAAAGTCTTCTCTTTCACCTGTTTATCTGAAATAAATAAATCAATCCCAGTTAATTAATTCTTCATCACTATCACCATGGGCTACACGGTGGGTACCTGGCCCCTTCTGACTCAGAATTCTCTGCATCTCCTTCTTGACTTCTTTCTCAAGCTCTAATACAGCATGATTCAAACTGAAACAAAAACCTAACCTAACCTAACCCAGTCTAACCGGACTCAACATGACGTAACCTAACCTAACCTGGCGTAACCTAACCCAACTTAACCTGACGTAACCTAATCTAACTCACCTTAACTTAACCCAATCTAAAAAGGAACCCAACCTAATTTAACCAAACCCAAATATCTTATTCCATACGATACGACGCTGACAAACAGTGACATAATATTATAACCGTTGCCATGGTAATGCTGTTAAAGTGGCCTTACTACGTACAGATATTATAACCTAGATACAGATCATATCTGAGATTGCAACATACCTTGTGAAGCTGTACGACTGTGCAGTCTAGCAGCCACAGAGCGAAGTCCTGCGATATTGTCATTAGGCTTGGCTGCCAAAGACTTCAGTCGATCAATGAGAACCTCGCTGAGATTATCATCTGACATTCTGATTACTGGGTAAAACTTCCTTCGGAACTATGGGGAAAAGAAGATCAGAGTCAAAATGTTGTTACTGGCAACTGTCCCTTCTTGTTCCAGTCCCAACATCACAGCAATTACATCATGGAAATACCTGAAATTCGTCTAAACCAGTTTGTCCTAGGGAAAACTAGAATACTTCACACAACCTAGCCTAACCTAACTTAACCAAACTCCTAACAGCGACATATCACATTCGTGGCCAAATTATAAACCTTCTCCAGGTTTATCAAGTAATGTGATTATTCCGAATGTCGTGGGCGAGTGACTGCTATTCCTGCTTCGTATGTGGGAGGTCTCGAGTTCAACTCTCGCCCAGAAACCGACTATCCTAAGGCTTCTCATGGTTCTCCCCAGCACTTCCATGGAAGTACAGAGATAGTAAATCAGGCTACGACGGTGTCCTTCCACATCCCTTCCAATTCATTTACTCTCCTATCATCGGACGCTACATGGTATAAGCTTAAACGAAGGATAAATCTCTCCCTTATGCGTCCGTTTTGTGTATCTGTGATAACAGTAGATAACACAATTTCAATCCCAGCCACAAAGCTTGGATTTTCTCAGTTCCACTTCTACCTACAATCGAACAAGTGTTTATTCCGATACTGAAATCATCCTGAGAACTTGCGTGGGTGTTGCTCTTATATTTTTCGTTATTGTCTGATTTACCTGTTCGCTTAATTTTAGTAGTGCCATGTGACTGCGTTATTTGTGCACAAAGCAGGGTACGATTTAACTTCGAAGCGTTTAGGATGAGTAGAAGCTTGTATGTAATGAGTTCTTAAGGCGGACGCCAAACTTCCTCGCTACGGTTTTACCACGGAATGTGTCGTGTCCAGGGCTGTGGAGTCGGTACTAAAATCTCCGACTCCGACTCCTTCATAAATGCTCAATATGTATTAATAAGGGTAGACCTACTAAAATGGTACATGGCACCATAAGAGATTTAATCACTACCACGTGAATCATCAGTCCACTTTTTAGACTTATAACCTATATTTAATTATACGTGTAATAGTTATTGCAGAAATCGGTTGATTTCTAGACATTTTGTATTCTTAAGGTACCGGAGCCAAAGTTACAGAGCATTATTCCCACACATTTTAGCTCAACGCGTCGTTGAATCTCATTAAGCGTTAGGCCACCGGCGGCTCACACGGTATAGAAAGTGTTCTTAAAATTTTATATCGAGGTCGGAGTCGGTACATTTTTACATCTAAACATTTTAGCAGCCACAAAAAATTATTCAACATGAGTGTATCGTCACTCAGGTCCCAGCTAATGAGTATAATGCCACTGCTCCATCTTATTTACTAGTTCCTCAAAATTGGGATCAATTGGAGACAGAGCACATCTCACGTCATATTCGGGGGTTCAGCAAACATTTTCGTTTTGTGTTTTTTTTTTGAAAGCAAGAGTGGAAAATCATACTTCACACATGTAAGTGTAATGTGTATTCCGAGGTGTGTCGTTACCCAAATAAAAACCATTTTTACCCATTTTTGGGTAATTTACTCAGGTTTGGAAAGCACTGATTTACAGTGATAAGAAGGCTGGAGTGAACGATTTAAATAAAATTGGTACAGGGGGAGATGTAAAAATAAAATTTGCTGGGCTAATTTTACTTCGGCACGTAAACTTATCGGTCAAGTATGAAGAACTTCATTAGCTACTAAATCTATCACGAATATAATTTCAATTCCCATACTGTTTAAAGTTCTTCATAATTTCTATACAATATCTCTGTGTGTGCTTTAGATGAAGAAATATGATTCAGAAATTCAATTTCTGCGACTGAGGAGGAAATATGTGTATATCCCAATGTGTAAGTTTCACTAGAAAGAATAAACGATTATTTATTTTAAAACACAACGTATCTGAAAATATAACATAGACCGAACTGTTATATGGAAATATCGGTTCTATTCCATCTTCCCAAGGATTTTAAAGTCACGTGGTAGAGCAGACATACGGACTGCAGTAAATTCAGCATTATTCCTACCCGATCGATGCAAAACTTTAAATGCTGATGTCACTGATCCATAGAAAACACAGCAAACGCCCAGTTAAGTCTGAATTGTTTATGTCACAGATCCAATTGCAAGAGGCCCCACATTTAAATATTGAAACTGATTTCTTAGAGCAGGGCCTTCTCCACAAGCTTGTACTCATTCGCCCGGTTAATATACCTCCTGCTTTAAACCAGTTTAATGCGATCCACACCCATTTCCATAATCCAAATTTTGATATTATCCTCTAAATCTACCATTCGACCTCTTCCTATAACGTTTCTCGATCAAATTTGTTTATTCATTTCTCGTTTCGCATATGTGAGTTTCTGCCAATTTTAATATTATATTTTAATCTGCACTTATATCACCCAAGCAATGTCTTCCTTAGAGCATTTCACTACAAAATCCTGTGTTTTTCTCACTATTTACGCATTTTAAAGCTCTCATAATAATATTAGGAGAGCAGTGATTTACAATATGAAACTTCTCAATTTCTTTGTTAGATCCAGATATGACGTTTCAAGCGTCGTCAACAATCAGAACCTCATCTTGGAGCACCGGCATATATGTGAAATACTTCAGATAATGTATTTCTATTGTTGTATTTGTTTGCAAAAAAGAAAACTGATTCGCAGTTTCACTAGTAAAGAAATCATTAAATCAACAGGCACATTTGAGAGTCGTGTTCTGTCGTCAAAATTAGAACGCATACAAAGCAAGTACTATGCAGAAAAACATAAGTCAACAATATGACAGCAGCTAACATTCAGATAAGGGCGTTAGACGTCAGAATGATGCGGTAAGGCACTCGTCAGTCAAACTCAATGAACGTTCCACACAAAAACTTTTTGGCTAAGCTAAACTATGGATTTAAAATCCTTAATATACATACCAATATTACTGCCTTAATGACTGGTTTATCGAAACGTTTGTCAGATGTTATCTCTCTCTCAGAATGTTTACAAATATTACATCACTACTGTAGGTCTTCTGCCAAATAACTGTTTTATATAGCTTCTGTATAGTAAGAAGTTTCCTCGCTAGATGGCAGAAATTCAAAGGAACGAGAGCCAAACTTTTGTTGCCAAAAATTGATTAATTATATCTACTGTGCTCTATATACGGGTGCTGACTTTCGAACTAGTGAACTGGAAAAGACACGCTCCAACTGTGCCAATGATTTTCCTTCGGAGATGAATTTTAAAAGATCTTTCTCTACGCTATGAAATATTACCAATTTTCTGTCTACTGTCCTTTGGCGAAAATAAATAAAAAAATTTGCTGGAGCTTATTACACAGAGTAAAATTAACTAGATACGATATATCTAATTATTTTTAAACAAATTAATCGTAAATTAAAACAATGTAGCTCAACTTAACATCTGTGGTATACTCATTCAGAAACTTAAGTTCCACAATTGAAAACATTTCTAGTAATATTTCGTCTACTCAAAATATGTCTTGCCTAGACATTTTGTGGGTATGGAATTACGCCGTGTAAGTTAAGTCTGAAGGTTTGTGAAAATTATTTCCTAGTTGTAATAAAAACAATGTTTCCGGGAGTGGCCTCGTGTCTCCGACCTCAGGTAAAATCTACTCTGTAAGAGCAATCGATAGAGCTGGTCCGTAACTCAGGTCCAGTAATGTATTTTTTCAGTACGACTTAACTTCATATTCGTGTTTTTCCCATTTCAGAATGAGTATTCCATACAGAAGCTATAAAAGCTGTCCCACTATACGCCATGTAGGCGCTTGGGGTGAGTGGAGGTACAGCTCCTCTCTTCCTTGACCTCGGCACTAGTTGGGGGTGAGTGGTCAGCATCACGCCCCGGCCGGCTTTACCCCCGGGAAAGGACCCCGGTACCCATTGGATAGGAGGTTGGGTGGACCCCAGAGCCCAAAATAGAATTTTATAAAAATCTAGAAAGCATATAAATGTTTCATATGATGAGTAGTAATTTTGATACATTTCCACTTTCTGTGATATTGTTTTGATGCCATAATAACTACAACTGAAGAATATTTGACTTTTGTACCTAAGAATATTTGAATTTGAATAACAATATGCTGAATCAAGAATCCACTTTGAAAACTTAGTTAGGGTTTGGTTTGATTTGGCAATCTGAGAACAAGAAACTTTTGAAGATTTCTGTCTTCTGGGTTGTTACGCCTTGTAGCGTGATAGATGTCCACCAACGTTTCAGAGGTCATATTGCCTCCGTCATGAGCCAATCGAGTGAATGCTAGGTTTATAGGGACCAGACAGTGAATGGAGTAGCCTCTGGTCCCTATAAACCTAGCATTCACTCGATTGGCTCATGACGGAGGCAATATGACCTCTGAAACGTTGGTGGACATCTACCATACTACATGGCGTAACCCAGAAGACAGCCATCTTCATATCCACCACTGTGAAAACCTCAAAGCCTACAAGAAACTTTTGTTTCACAGCAATGTAAATAAACAGGTAGCTGAGTTCTGAGGCAGGTATAGCAGTTCAGAAGTTTTTAGTTTACTTGTAGTGTGGCAAGGGGTAGGTATGTATTGATGATATATTACACATCCTTGACATATGTCAAATGAAGGATCTCTGAAATGCAAATAAATTCTAATTTTGCAGCAAACTTCAGGCATGACGTAGGTGCATCTTTCTCCAAAAACTTAACTGGAAACAATAATTTGTAAAACTCAATATAAGAACAACACTGCAGTTTAATCTTCATTAACCCTACTTATGAACCAAAACAACAAAATTTCTAAACACAGTAGCCAAAAAGCAACGTTAAACGACTGGCAAATGCTAATACAATACATATTATAAATTAAAATTCACACTATTATATAAATTTCACATAATACAAAACAAAGTATTCACCTAGAGAAATTATAAGTTATAAATAGATCTACCCATCACATACAGAAGATAAATTATCACTTATTTGTAAACAACATAAATTCATTGACACAGTAAAAGGAGTGTGTAATTAAATATATTTTTAATGCTACCTTAAATTGCGTCTTTTTATTTACAATACTTGAGAGATTTGATGGTAGACTGTTGAAAATTTTGATTCCTGCATAATACGCGCTCTTCTGAAAGCATGAGAGGTTGGCAATTGGTCTATGAAGCTGATTTTTATTCCTTGTGTACAGCAGAATTAGTTTGAAAGAGTTCTTGGTTATTTACAATAAAGTTCATTAATGAGAACATGTATTCACAAGGAAGAGCCAAGATCTCTAATCTCTTAAATAGACTTCTATATGAATTTCTATGTTTTACACCAGCCAATAATCTAATAATTTTCTTTTGTAAAGTGAATATCTTTTT